ATGTTTCTTTTTTTAACAGTCAACCGTTCCCAAAAATATATTCTAAATGATCACTGGCTATGTATATGTGTTCAGATACAATGTCCTATCTATCTGTTTTTCACTTTTTAGGATGCTTTGAAATATTTAGAATTTCACACGTTTTTCATATCGCAAAAAGAGTTGAATTCTAGAAACAGTGCAATTGTTTTAATTTGTATCGTTCTGTGTAATAATTATTTAATTAATTCGCTATAGAAGATGCAAATTCTTCCGAAGATAAAGTTTATGAAATGTATATTAATAATTTCTTTAATTAGAAAATTTTCATTTTACTTCATTTTATTCCACAAAAAGACGAAAGACCGCGAATATGAACATAACTTTTTTGTAGATTAAAACCGATTATAAATATATAATATATCAATCAATTATATAGTATATTACATATTATAATATATTTAGTGTGTTATATATCATAATAAATTTGAACAGATAAAATTTGTTTTATCTAAAAAATCAGAAATTAATAAGGAAAGTTAGCAAAGAGAGGAGGAAATCCTATTATAAAACTGAAGCCATTAATATGAATTAATTGCTTTGTTCCTTAGACATCATTAAAAGTATTTAATAATAAGAATAATAATAACAATTAAAAATAACAATGAAATTAATTAAATATAATTTAAATCATTTCTTATTTCACTTTCGTTACGAAATTAACATAATATATTTAGTGTGAATAATTGATTGTTATTCTAATTACGTATCATCCATACACATGTACTAAAAATTATTATATTCTATTACAAGATAATGACAAAATTTATATAATTTAATGACGGAAAACAAGGTTAACATCAAAAAAATATTGTAAAATCTCATTCTTCTCGCATGTTTAAATGTGTTAATTAAGATAATTAAGCTAAGAAGAATAGCACATGACATATAGTATTCACGTTAGTCACTGAGATACACAAAAGACCATGTCAGCTTACAATTAGTAAGAACTGTGTTACATAGATTCCAACTTAAAAAAAGATAATTAAACTAATTTTATAATAAAATTTCAAAAACATAGTACAGCTTAGTAGCAACTACTATATTAATTTATATTCACTTTGAACCTAATTCCAACAATTCATAAATACCACCATATAACTTTCTCATCAAGGAATCTCATCTAACGCATATCATAAGACAGCGGTGAGAAATCTTTTTATATCTGCATGCCAAAAATTCTCGAATCTTGTTATTCGATTTTCCGACGCATCGGAGAATCCTAGGAAAAAGATTAACAAAATATTAATAAAGAATCTCATAAAATTTCGTACAAATGAATATACAACCAACAGTTTTTAAAATTAATGTAAAATTACGTAAAAGTGAATCTAACCTATTCAACAAAAATTCGTTCCGGCTATTCATTAACGAGATCCTCACTGTTGTACATTTGATGCGAAATACTTTATATCTGGCTCATATTCCACCGCTCTTGTTAATAATACACGTGCCAAATTAAACTCGCCAGACATTCCATTTTAGGAAACATAAGATTTCAGGAAAACAGAACTTCGCATTTACATGCTCGTACACGCCATTTCAGTCGCACGTGCCATAGATTCGCCGTCCCCGTCATAAGAGCACTGCAACGACACATATCCCTTCAAATTCCTGCAATCATAAACAAAAGAAGTACGAACTAACTACCAACAGCTCTTTGAACTTGCCATTTCATCAAATACAAAGTCTAACCTTCCACAAAGACAATCGACAACGCCCCCGTTGAAATTTTTTCGACGACTGAGAAGCTACCGTTGCGAGACACCCGAAGAGTCACGTGGGATCGTTTCGCGTTAAAAGGCCTGCGAAACAAGACGAGACAAAACGAGACGAGCCGAGGCGAGACGAGATGAGACGAGGCGAACGAAGACGAGACGGCACGAGGACAGAGCGAGACGTTTCTCAGGAAAGAAAGCTGCCGATGGAAAAGAAGTCAATCCTCGGCTGGAACTCGACTAGAGTCTGACCCGCTATATACCGTCTCGCGAGTCGTTCCCCTTGACAGAGAAAGACGGAAAGAGGGGAGGCGGAGAGAGACAGAACGACACGACGGAGAACGAGGGAGAAAGAAGGAGCATCGTCTAGAGAGTATAGTCGAAAGAGGGCATCGCGTCCGGCGCGATGACCTACTATCTTCGCTTCGGCTGCTCGACCGTATAGTTAACACTGACTACACCGTAGTGATGCCCACAGGTACACCGTGTATGTATCTGCAACGCGCTACCTGCTGCACTAGCCGTTTTCATTCATTCCCTCTTCTCGCGTTTTCGAGCAGCCAGCCGTAGATAGGATCTGAGAAACGAGACTGCCAGGAACGCGGCGAATCTCTCGGGCTTTCAAAGTGCTTATCAACTCGCTCGTGATGTATCGAACTGTTTTCAAGTCTTTCGTATTCTGAATTATTTATGTTACTTTATGCGGGATAGTGACTTTCGTTTATTCGTTCGCCTGTCTTACCGAGACGTGGGTATCGCGTGGCGTTTAATGCCAGAAAACGATCAATAAAAATCCTGGCATCGGCTTCGAAGATTTATATCGAAACGAAATAAAGCGTGCAATGGGCAGAAATGGCGGAGGAATTTAGGCAAAAGTGCGAAATCGTACGAAATGGTGAACGACTAGGTTATGTATCGGCCTGTTTCGTTGATAATGAAGAAAATTTATACAATATGGTATGTGAAAAAATTTTTAGTATCTCAATCAGGCATACGAAAAAAGATTCGTAGAAAAAAAATATTTTTGTAAATATTTAAGAAAATCAATTCATTAGTTACTCTAATTTTTATTCTCGAAAAATCTTAATTTTAATCCCATTATTCGTGTTTAACAATGAAATTGATATTGCTTTATCCGTTTTCGTTGAAAACGTATTCGTCGACGAAATATAACACAATTATTGGAAACTATTACTAATACACATCGAGCAACGAATATATTTCCTTCAATTAGTATAAATTCAAACGTTTATTCAGAAAGGTATTATACATAGTCCAGCAAATTAATTGCATTTATTTCGACTTCATTATCGCGGGTAACATGGAAAAATTAAGTTGATCCACGCGTACGGTTAACATCCGTGAATCGCACTGCGTTTGCAGCGCAACATGCAAACACGACGCACAGACCATGTACTTCCTTTTATTCCACCTTTCACGGTTTTTCATGCAGCAGCTAAAAAGATACACACGCCCCGCCTGTGGAATATCGATTGGCACGATATGCAGCCGAATGGAACGATATAACCGTCAAAACTTGCTCCACCTTTCTCCAAATCTCTACGTACAGCGCCAGCCTAACCTAACTTTTCGACAAACACGCACGAAGCAAATACGTTCTTCCATTCTCGCGCTCCACTAACCAATCCCGTCAAGAAAATCTAGAGTCATTAGTATAAACCAATATAGATCGTCTTCGACGTCGAATTATAAAGATGCCACGAATAAAGTATAACATAGATAAGAAACCTCATCTGACAATAGCAGATTAACCTTAACCATGGAGAATACAGACTAACAAGAGGAGGAACTCTACTGTACTATAATGATTTCAACGATCTTTTGCAAAATGATAGAGTACATATTTCTAAATATTCTTTCTCCTTTTTCCCAGTACTTTTCTTTGGAAAAATAGAAAAAAAAATAATTAAAGGAAAGAAAAGATTTATGATCACGATACATAAGGTGTGCATTTTTAAATAATTATATCTTCGAAACTATCAAGTATCTAGGGTTAATATTCAACAGATATATTTAGCAATACGTACTCTATCGTTTCGCAATAGATTATTGAAGTCGGTATAGTACAGTTGGAGTCCTAAAGGACGTTACGAGGAAGAACAGAAAAGGCGATGAAATCTCGCGTGCACTGTTGCAGTCTGTCCAGGGTGGTAACCGTTTCATTCAGGCTTTTACTTCGAAACGATCAGCGCCACAACAGACGACATTATGTGGCACAAGGAGAGCCCGCGGCTACGGTGATTCCTCTTAAGCATTAACGTCGCGTTGTTTCTCGGCCAGCACGTGCGTCCCGCGAATAGCGGTCCAACTGTCCGACGTTTAGGCATCAATGAAACCCGATCGTTCCTCGTTCCATCGCAAGGACATTTTTTAACGGTCACGGAAACGTTTAACGGTTCGATCGATCCTTCCTCGCGTGGACGCTCTGCATCCTAGGGCAACCTAACCTCACCGCGCCGAGCGTGCCGCGATGGTACCCCGCGACGATTCTGCTCTGCCGTGCTCTACTCGACAATGCGTCGGGATAAAAACACAGGCAGGTGCATAAATAGATTCACCTGTTTCACGCACAGCTCGCGGATAACGGTCGCCGTACGAGCCGTCTGTCACTTTAAACGAGGAGAACAGTCGCTAACCGCGAATGGTAATCTCCTTCGTCCGACAGCAAATTCAAGCCTAGAAAATAATAATACCGATCACGGCGAATCGATTATTTGCCCGAGTGCAACCTATGCTTAAGATGAACGAGCAACCGTCTGGGAATCCAAGTGAATATTCACCATGATCAAGGTCTAGGAGCATAATTCGACTAAACGATGTTCGTTAAAAAGCGAAAGTGGAAGGTTCATGGAAAATATGGCGGTTTAGTTAAATACGCGTTCGAATCGAATTTGTTTTCGCCCAATTTTGAAGCACTATGAACTTCCTGGCTATAACAAATGGAACTTTAGTCCCTTTCGAAGCTACTCGTCGATGATTGGCTGAGTAGAAACAGGATAAATCGGTCTCCACGGTGCTTCGTGGATTGTAGCTAATTTTTAACTGGGTCTCGTTCCTGACAGCTTAGTAACTGAATCATCCGTGACCCAATTGTGGCGCGTAAATCGGGTCTACGGCGCATTGTGTTTACCCGAGGTACTCGTGGCGAAGGAAGTGTTACGTGTTAGTTTTGAGCACGGGTAAATTAGAATCGTTGCAACATCGATGGCAAATTGTACTCACAGCCACAAGCAGAGGCAGCAGCAAGATTAGAGTTGACTTCCGTATACTCCGCCACGTCCTCTCCATCATGCGAGTGTCCTCTCTGCAAACAAAAGCAAAACAAAGCCTGCTATAATTACGTGCACGGTGAAACATCCGATTAATTATCATCCCTGATCCCCCTGATTATCCCTGATCATCCTCGTGTGGGTCACGTGATATTCCAACTCGTGGACACTCGAATGGATTCACTCTGAGTGGAAGCCAGCTAGCTCTCTACCTCGCCTTGTTATTCCTCAGTGATTTACCATTTCGTTGTCATCCAGTTTTGGTGTATTTGGATTGACAGTGTCGATGGGATCGGAAGTGTAGCGGATAAAGAGATTCGTGGCATTTATCGTCAGTCGAGTGCGCAAGTAGCACGTTTACTGTCCGGACTTTTACAAAGGACGTTACGCAATGAGCATCTAAACCGCACTCTAGAAAGTCGAACTTCTTAATTAAAAGCTCGTTCGGGATGACGCGGTCAAAGAAAAAGTTCCGCCCCACTACCAGCCCGTGGAAATCCAATTCCGCGAGATTCAAAGTCCGCGCGGCTGGCTTTATTTCTGTCGGAATTGGCGAGGAAATGAAGTTTAAAGGGTAGAAGAAGGAGAGGGAGAGACAGAGACAGAGGGGAAAAAAATAGGAGAAAAATTAAATTCCGCGGGTAGCACGGAGACAAAAGGAGGAGCTGAAAGACGGGAACACTGGGAAAGTTGTAGTTCGAATGGGAGCAGAGATCAAAGGAAGAGTGTATTAAGTCCGTGCGATCAAGAAGCACGAAAACTTCGGATCGGAGAGTGTACCGAGCAGAGCCAAGAGCGTGGAACAGATGAGAAAAATACCGGACAAGTATCCCCGTGCTACCCACCCCGGCAGGTAAGAGGAACGATTTTCTTGGTGAACGACGTCGAGAGGAAATAAAAGGAAAAAAGAACGATCGAAGCACCTCTTTCGAATCCTTCGTCTCTTCTCAGAGAAACACTGCTCCTTCGTTTGGTCCTCGATGGTCCTCCCGAAAGCTCGCGTCGGCCTGGCTGGTCCCTTCTCACCCCCCTTTTCCGGGCACGCCTGCGGTCACACGATATAACCCCGAGTAACTCGCGCGTCAGTTGTTCGTCATTGGGCCCGATTGCCAGCGTGCTACCTTTTCCCTAGCAGAGAAAAAGGGGACTGTGCCTGTCTGACGCGACTCGACGGGCCCAGAGGTGGCTACCTTGGCCGACGGGGACTGACTGAAGGTGCAAGCCACGCTCGTCTCGGCCACGAGCCACGTCCCAGTGACCTACTCACGATCTCGATCGTTCGTGCTGTACACTCACCCCTCCTCCGGCTCCTTCCGCCTTCTACGTAAGCCCCAAACAGGCCCACCGTGCTCGCTCGCTGCTACTCCCCTACCCTGACACGGGCCGCCGTTCTCTGCCACCGTTTCCATTCCTTCTTTTTCCGCTCTTCGCGTCCTCCTCGCTGACTTCTCCCTGTTCCTCTCTCTCTGGCCCCAACTCGCCGCCTCTCTTTTTGTCTCTCCAACGACTTGTACCCCGTACGACGCTGCTCGGGCACAGGTGAAAGATTCCCGCAGCGAGGCGCGAGAGTCATTAAATCGGGAATGGGGAGGAGAGAGCAGCGTTTATTTCGGTGGTCGTTCTTCCGCCATGGAGGGGACGTTTCCAGACTTTTCATGCGCTCTTTTTGGCCCGGGCTCTGGTGTTGGCGGATGTCGTAAATAAAACTCGAGGGGTGGATCGGCGAAACGGAACCGACTAATTTTTTCCAACGGAATTCGGCTTCAAGGAATCTTCTTTTCGAGTAATCGATATTTCACGGGTGTATTCGTTATTCGTAGAAGGAATTATTTTTAGTGGGACGAGGAATGTAAAATGGATGGAGGAAGATGGAATATTGAAATTTTTTAATTTTGATTTTAATTTTTGATTTACGGGAAATTGTATTTCGTGCCCGTGACTTTCGTGGGGTGAGTTAATGCGCATGTATTGGACGGTCTATGATTGTCATTGACATACGATTTGAAAAATTTCAATTTTCAACGTAGCTTTCGGCGTATTTAATAATAACCTATATTAAGTGCCCTATTTTTATTTTGCAATTATGTATTTAATCAATGTGTGACAAGAAGATATTTTTCATTTAATTTCTGCGAATTTGTAGGTTACTTATGGGGTTAAGTAAAAGTGCTAGATTGATAGAATTGTAGAATAATTTTTTAAATCTTTTTTATAGGTTTTTTATATTGATTTGAATATTATGATAAAAAGACGTGATTTATTTACGTTGCTAATTAGTAATATTTTTTGTACAGGGTGTTCCTGGGTCTTTTTATTGCAAGTAAGTTAGAAGTGAAAACTATAATGTGAAAATTTTGTGAAAATCTATATTTTGAGATGATTTAGTGTAACTTATTCTTAGATATCATTCACTATGAACACTCCATCAGTCAATTTTGTATCTGTGGTTGTAAGAAAAATATCCCATGGCACAATTTCAAAAAATTCTATTGGTTTATTCGTTGATTGAGTTGCAAAATGAATTATGATTTACATGTTTATAAAAATATATATATAAACATTTTACAGAGAAAGATTAGTCCTAACCTAGCCGAATGTTAATAAAAAGGATTGATATTTTAATTATTGTAATCAAAGAAATATTTTATTGTAAACAAAGAAATATATCGTAAATAAAGAAATATTTTTTCCAACATACGTTTACAATTTAATTTTTTTATAAACTTTTTAGAGCTAAGTTTGCAATTTTTTTAGAGAAACCAAAAACTCTGTACAAAAAATAGCCTAATATTAATTTCAAAGTATTAAAATTGCAATTTCAGTTCGACTTTTTACTATCCTATAATAATTACATGTCTCAAACAAAATATCACGAAAATTATGTGATTAGACTATCGAATTATCTTCATCCACTTTTACTTATTCCAAATTTCGCAAAAAATCAATTTTATTCCAAAATTTCGTTCAAATTGATTATTCAACCCTCTCAATCCTTCAAATACTTAAATTCCATGCAAATTCGACCCCCAAATATAGAAGTAACGCAATTTCTAATATCCCGATAAAATTCCATTTTAAATATAGGAATAAAAAAATTAGGTTATCTGCATTCCAAAAGCGTCTGCTTTTCTTTTTGCGACATATCAGGAATACATTCTCAGAGTTCATTGAACACATGTTCCGAATTTTCAAATTCAGTATCACTCCGGTGGAACGCTATTCTCGTAAAGGAACTTATTTATGAAAGAACGCAATGAATAACACGTAGAAGCAGGTGCCTGTGACAGCACACTAGCGCCAGCTAGCTGCCAGGCAAAAAAGGAGAGAGAAAAATCTGTGAAAAATATTTCGGTTGTCTGTCACATGGGTGAAACGGATACCGATCGTGACTCGAATAATAACACGGAAACGTCGCTCCTGTGCAGCTCCGGAGGAACCAGAGAATAAATTACAGCAGAGATGTCTCAACTACAGAAACAGCGACGTTCCAACTAGGTTCGATTTCAATAAATCGCGAAGAGAAAATAGAAGCAAAACAGAGGCGTGTATTGCCCTTCCATAAGACGAATCGTAAATGTACTGCGATATTTCTCCGTTCGTGCAATCAATTTTCCAGATTCTCGAATTTCAACCCTTCCCTGTGAATGATTTTTATACGTGACCTTGAAGGCCTGCGATTTATTATCCAAAAACCTGCATCGTTTTTTCTAATTAAATTTCCTACCAAACGTGTACGATAGAAAATTAAATTTAAAGAAAAAATACGAGAATGATAAATCCCAAAAAATCCTTGACACGATATTTCAAAAAATGTAAGTAAAATTATTTTTCATTTATTTTTCGCTACGATAAGGTTAAATTTATTACACAATGAGATTCTACGTGTACGATACGAGGTAAACTATGATAATAAATTAAGCGCAAAAAAATAAGTAAATGAAAAATCTGACTGAGAACAAAAATGGTTAAAATGGTAAATAAATAATTAAAGTAAAATTATTTCCCGTTTATCAATACGAAGTACTAATAAATAATGAAAATTGTCTTACTATTTAAAATTAATTAATTCGATAAAAAAGCTAAATAAAACTAAAAATAAAATTCGATCGGAAAACTTGAAACTTCAAAATATTATTTTAGCAGATTTCGAAAGAACGAGAGCATCGTTCTCGTGCACCTGATGCCGCTCTAGATACGCTCTACGCGAAGGTGCAAATGAGCTTCCAAAACATATCGAAATTTCCAGAACATTTCATTCGCCACAGTATCCTACGACAAGAAACGGACAATTTACATAATTATCGCGTACCTATTAATTACAACGTGTCGAGTGACGGTAACAGGGAACCTTGCATATTATAAAACGCTCAATTTTCGCAGATACGAGAGATCGCGAAGTCGATAAAGCTGACTGACGTGGTACGTTGCACACTAGCGCCCGCTGAACGCGAGACGAATCAATCTGAAACGATCACCGCATGGGGGCGTGCGGCCCTTTGAATAATGAAACATTGCCCTTAGCTAGCGCGCTCGCAGTACTTTCCTTTTCGCTTCTCGAAATCGCGTCGCAAACCTGAATTTGCGTAATACCACGACCGATAAGAACGAGACTAGAAAAGCAACCGGTGACCTGACCCAGATTTCTCACCCGCATGCTGTTAAACCGACCATCCGGAAGTGGCTTATAGTGCTCGTTATGCATAGGGATAACGTTGAACCGCCAGATAATACGTGAAAGTGCGAGTGAATATAATGCAACCGTGACATTTTAATAATGAATTTCCTCATGGAGAATTTATTGAAAATTGTGAAATTTGATTAGAAGACTGTGGATATGAAGTGTTACACAGATGTCATTTTTGTATCCAGATGTACCAAAGCTTTTATAGATGGCGTACCAGTAGCTTTGTTTTCGTTAAGATGGCGGCGTGTTTTTTCATTTTTATGCTATTGCTGAATAATTAATATTAAGATGGATATTAAAACGTGTAGCGTGTAAGAATTACAGCATATTGGGATATATTATAA